ATCGAACTCATGCGGAAGCGGCTTTAGATTCTCAGTGCTGTGCTTTAACCCGCTGCGCCACTAGGGAGGGCCCCTCAAAGCCTTTTTGACCCTCGGTGATACTATCTCTGGCTTGATGAAATTTCTTCCAATCCTCCACATACATGTTAGAAAAAAGCATACCACTGCAATAATGTTGGGGGATAGAGTCCTGTACCTTCTGTATGTTATAACCCTCTGCCACCAGCATTCAGCCATGCCTCCCCCAACCCCTTTTGAAATTAAAAAAATAAAATAAAATAAAATAAAAATAAGTGTTTTCTTTTACTTTTCTGTTTATTCTTTTTCAGTTTTGGGGGGTTTATTTAAATTCTTTTCATGTTTCTTTTTCTTTTTTCCCTCAACTCATTTCTAATGCTCTTAATGTTTTTCTTTAAAAAAAAAAAAAAAGGCCTTATCTTCTTAGGGAATGAATGTGGGTGGGGTACAGGTGCATGACAGACAAGACTGATTACAATTTCTTAACTTTTGTCATTATTTTCATCCACTTTTGTCAGTTCTGATGCATATTCAAGAGTTATAAGATTTCTCTGGGGAAGGGCCTGATCTCCTAGTGTGTAACCCCCTTCACTGTTTAGGCGGTGAAACTCTCCACTGCCACTCTGTGAGCTGATGTTTTTGAAATAGTCATCTGGCCCCAAGGTCAGAGAGGAATGGGATCCCTCTCTGGGATAAAGTTGGGGGTGGAGGGTCACGTGGTACAAATCACAGGGGTCTCTATTGGGAAATGAAAGCTTAGTGGAGAGGAGTCTCCTCCCTGCCTCAAATTGACAGAAACCAGGTCTCAAACCTCCCCAACTGTGTCCTGGAGGGAGGCGAGAACTCCCTCAGGTTGGGGAGATTGAGGTAGTGTGCCTAGCTCCTTCCTTCCGCCGCAGCATGAAGTCTCCAGGAGCAGCTGGACTCATTGCATAGAAGACATTGGCACTGTCAGGAATCAGGAGCTCTGGCCAGGGGTAAAGACAATAGTTAAAGTCTAACATAATTTCATATTTCTCCCATAAAGGATCCAGGTAACTTTCTGTCATTCACCCTGGGTCCCTTCATTTACTGTTGAGCAAACTTCATTCTCCTCTCATTGGGGAATCTACACAATTTCCTTTTCAAAGTATAAACTCATGCCTCCCCATTGTCCATGAGAAGGGGCAAACTCCTCTTATTTTTCTCCAGAGTCTAGATAACAACCTACCCTGGAAAAACTCTAGTCTCTAGTCACGCATCCCAATTTCCTATCCACCCCACCCTCCTGCATTTCTTACCATGAATAACTTTTGGACACTGAGCACTTGGACAACTTCTAAGTTCTGACTTCCCACTTTTGAGCCTGTACAACCTCAGCTCTCATACTTGACACTTGAGAACTAAAGTATTCCTTCCAAATGTCTAGCCAATTTTCTAGCATGTCCTTTAAAATGTCAACCTCTTGCATCTCCCTCTCAAAAATTGTAACCTCCATTTACTTCCTCACCGAACAATCTCATGTTCCACTACTATGAGTTTCAGTACCATATAGCTCTCTCCCATAACTGATAACTTCAGATTCTCTCATTTCCCCTTAAATCCAAGCCCTGGCCTTTTTCAGATTCCTACTCTACAAAGATATGCACAACTCGTGATCTTATAAATTGAAACCTAGAGAGCCTCCGACACATCCTCTCTTATCTGACTCTGGGCAATCTCACTTCCCCCATAAATCTCAGGAAGATGCTTTTAGTGTCCTCTTCCCTCACACTGAGCCAGGACAACTTCATGATCCCACATAACTAAAGCACAAATATTTTACTGCCTCTTATCTGTACTCTGTGACAGAACCATCTCTGACACTATTAGGGTCATCCTTAACCCTAGTGAATCTGCTGCCCTCCCAGCTATCCCAGCTCACCCTTGTCCCCAGGAAGGAGTTGAAATAGCTGGTAGTCTCGGGCCCAGGGCTGGACCACATTGTGCTTTTGTAAGGCTCGTTGTACCACGCTGGGGGCCTTGTCCTGGCTAGTGAGCTGGGAAGAGAGGGTATAAGGTGAAGTGTGCTGGCCCATGCTCCCAGGGTAGGATTGCCCTCAGTAGATCTGTCCAGTCCTCACCAAGATGCTGCGATATAGGTTCCCATGGTCATTGTCGATGCTGACTCGGATGACTCGGGCCTCTGAGCCCTGCAGTGCAGGGAGTGGGAGTCGAAGGCCACTCAGAGGTGAGGCCAGGGGCTGAGGACCCAGCAGGTCTGCGTTTAGGAGGAACTACAGGCAGCGAAGGGTGTGAGCTGAGCAGTAGAAGAGCTCAAAGTGGGTTCCCTCTCTCATTGATAGATTCAACAATTCCTCCTACACACCTGCAGCCTGGGGACATGCAATTAGGGGGCATGCACCAGCCTATATCTATGCAATCCCACCACTCACAGACCTTCATTCCCTGTTACTCAAACACACACGATCAAGAAACGCACAGACCCATGTTCACACATAAGAAATGCTATGTATATAGAGAGCAGTGAGGACTCACACACAAATGCTCACAGTGGTTGTGTACGCACAAGCCCACATCTATGAGCAGCCCTGCACATTGTCTTGGATACAGTGGATATTCATGCCTACACTCCCCCTTTAGATGTGTCATTCCTGGGGACATCTGCATCCTTACAAGTATGTATGACCATATCCTGGTGTGTCCTGTGAGTGAAAGGAAGCATTGGTCCAGATCTGAGCATAACTGATGGACAATCTCTCAAATAGGGCCTATACGACACCCAAAAGTTTCAGTCAGGAACATGCACATTTCCCATGCATGCACGAGGTCCTGAAATCCTATGTGTCTGCACCTACACACTACACACACACACACACTCCTAGTACCTTGGTGTTGGGGTGCTGGAGTCCTGGAGAGGCCGGGGGACTGCCAGAAGTGTCCCTCAATCTAGGACTAGATGGGGGAGAGCCTGGGGATAGACTGGTAGAGACACAGCCAGAAGTGGGGTGGCTGCTCCCACTCTGACCCTACCATCTTCAGTCCCTTCACCAAATGGATGCTCACCTGGAGGTAGGGGATGAGGGGTCTCCGGGACTCCCACAAGGGGATGAGCCTCGTTCTCGGGACAATTTTCTGAGGAAAGAAACAGGTGATAAGACTGAGGTCAGATTCAATCCCAGGAGCAGTCCCTATCTCTAACCATAGCAAACCCCAACCCCAAGCACAGGCCCTCTGAGACTCACGCACTGAGGCGCTTGGTAAGGCTGATATGTCGCTGGACACGTGGGGAGCTGGGGCAAGAGGCAGCTGGAGGTTCAATGACACGAGAGACTCGGTAGCTGAGGGATCGAGAACACAGGGCAGATGTGGATTGGGGCCAGGAAGCAGTAGGGGTGAGGACATGAGAGAATCACCTGGGAGCTGGTTTTAGGGAAAAGCCAGGGTTGGGCACTGAAGGTCGGGGTCTGGGTATAAGTGGATCATTTCAGATCAGGGTTTTTTTATAGGTGAGATGGCTGGTGGATCACATGGGAATTCACAGGGTGAGCTGAGGAGTCAATGGTTAGGGTAATGGATTCAAATGAATGAAAGGAAACTACTGGAATAGTTGAGTTCAATAGTCAAATACATGTCAAAGCTGGAGTCAATTGTACAGAACTGGGAGTTAATGACTGGGTTCAGATAGTCAGATAAAGCACTTCTAAGGGGGTTAGATAGGGTAAGAAGGTGAGGAAGAAAACATGGGTGGCTGAGTTGAATGGCAAGCTACAAAGTAAAGGTTGAAGTCAAAAAGTGAGGTGGAGTGAAAGTTTGAGGTTAAAGAGTACTTGATTGGACTAGAGATAAGGCGAAGTCAGAGTTTGAGGGTCAGTGTTCAGGAAAGGTTTCAGGAGGAGCTGGAACATGCATGGGGTAAGCAGACTTAGACTGGGTGGGGCTGGTATGGGCCAGGCCACTGGGTGGTCACCTTTGCTCCTCAGTGAGCTGACGCTGGACATGTAGGGCAGCCAGGATGCGTGGGCAGGGTTTCAGGCAGTAGCTCTGGCAACGCTTCTGCAGTTGCTGGATGTGGGCCAGGATCTCCCACTCCTATGGGACAGCTTCTGAGTTCCATTCCAGCCTCTGTGCTACCTCCCAACTCCCCCAAGCCCACCCCTGTGCCCTCTTACCTTCCTCCTCTTCTCAAAGTTGATGAGATCCCCCTAGGTGCAAGTTTTGTTAGAAGTGGAGCCTCCAGGGTCAAGGGTCAAGAGTCAAGGTCAGGGGCTGGGATGTAGGAACCCCCCTGAGCTAAGAGGTAGGAGTCAAGAATGTAGGCAGGGTCAAGGATTAGGAAGGCCCTCTGTGCTGAGGGCCAGTGGTATTAGGATCAGGGGTCAAGGGGCAGGGGTCAGACCTCCAACATATCCGGCAGTGCTGTGTCCAACATAATCAGGTCCGTGAGAAAGGTGCCAAGGTAGGGCACAGGGCCTGGTGGCAGTTTCTGCAGCCCCCCAGAGTTATAGTCACTCTTAGCCATTATCACCCCCATCACAATCCACCCTCCTCTCTGAGGACCCCATTTTGTCCCCATCCCCAAACACCTTACTCACTGAAGGCAAGCTTCTTGGGGGGCTATCCTCCTCTTGGGGTCCCTCAGTGTCCTCTTCCTAGGGGTGGAGAAGAACTGAGCAGTTCTGGGTTTTTTTTGATCCCCTCTTCGGTCCCCAATTCACTATATATACCCAGATGGTGTTCAGCAATCACAGCCAGGTATAAAAGCCAAAGGCAAGGAAAACTGAACAGTGGGATGGGGAAGGAAGCAGATAAATAACTGGGAGCAGGCCCTACTGGAGACAATGGGAAGTGGGGCTTGTGGGGGCCATGGTCCCTAAGGCCAGCCTTTACACAGGTGAGAACAGCTGTCCCCAGTCCGCTACCCTGAATAGTGTCTACACAATAGCATTGTTCTGCCTGGTAATTAAATCATTGCTGGAACAGTTATGATTATATTATGTGTCTCCCAGTCTGGGGTCTGAGTCCCTCCAAATTTTTCCTAAAAGTTGCTCAGTACAACTTATGCAGATTTCCATGCACCTTGAACTTTCATCCTTACTTGAGATGTTGATTCACTCACAGATATTTACTGAGCACCTACTTTGGGGTCAGGCACTGTTTTGAGTGCAGGGGAGGCATCGGAGAACAAAATATCAAAATCCTGGTCTCTTGGAGCAGACATTGGCAAAGGAAAGATGAGCAACCAAGTTCAACACAGAAGGACAGGCAGAGATAAGAGGGGGAGGCAGAGATGCTGAGGAGCTTGGGGACAAAGATCTGGGTAAAGACCCTCAGGAAGTAAATGTGAAGAAGGAACAGACTCAAGGTTCCATTTATTCTGAATTTACCTTAAGAACTGACACTTAATCATCTATAGTAATACATCTTGCCTGTAATTACATCTTGTCTGTAATTAGTCAGACCTGTTGGCACATATTTTTTAGTTCTGTTTATCAAAGTCAAGTCCTAGCACAAATTCCCCCCCCCCCCCGCCCTCACTCTTTGTTGACTCTGGCCTTAAGGACACTTTCCTCTGTAACTTCTGGTATTCGTTGAAGGAATAAATAAGACAGTCACCCAGCTAGAGCAACAGAGGCAGCATAAAAGGTGGAGCCACCCACAAACACGAGGGAGAAAGGACAGTGAGTGTTACAACAATGAAAAACTATGCCCTGCCTGGTTCCAAGTCCCCTTCTTCTGCCTGAAATCCACAGGGCCCCTCACCCATCTATACCTGGAAGAGAATCTCTCTGCTGCTAAGATGGTTGTTCTCATCAGAAAAAATCTGCGAAAGTTTCCTGAAAATGGATAACGGTTCCCTGGTGGAGGTGAGGGGGACAGGAGAGGGTCAGAATTGGTGTGGAGTTGGGTGACCGCAGCAGCCTCCCACACCATGGCCGACTCACTGACTAACAGCTCCCCAGCAGTGCTTGAGCCGGTATATGGGGTTAGACTGCAGAGCTGACAGGATCGCCCTCAGGGAAGAGAAGTTCCGGAGTTCCCGGCAGCGCTGAGGAGAGGTGGGGGTGCTAGTCAGACCCCAGGGTTTGATCCCCCTTAGATGCAGAGACTTCTGGCCTCTGTGTCCCCCACATCTGACAAACTACCCAGCCTCAACCTCCATGTCCTCAAGTCCAACCCATGCCTCCCGCCAAGTCCCAGCCCCTCCCCCTAACCTCCATTCCCCACCTCTGACTTTGTCTTCTGGCATCTCCCCATTCCTTATTTCTACCAGGAAATAAGAATCTCTCCTCAACCCAGAACCCTCCTCCTCGAACCCAAGTCTCAGGCCAGGTGACAACCTTCTTCCTCTTTCCCTCCCTCTTTACATTGCCCCGTCCTTCTCCTCAGTGCCCAACTCTTTCTCCTTTCTGTTCTATGCCCCCCGCAAGCCCCTACTAGTCTCCTTCTGGCTTTTGGCCGGCCCTCCAATCCTCTCTCCATCCACCACCCCTTTCCTAGCAAGCTCCTTGGCAGTTCCAGGCCCTTGGCTGTCCAGGAATATGTTAGACTTTCCCTTCAGCACCTCCCAGCCCCAACTGTATGCTCACTCCCAGACTACTGCCTTCTGCCCACTCCATGACTTTCTTCTTAATCCCAGCCCTCTCCCCGCTCAATTCTTTCTTTACCAGAGTCCCCACCATGCACCTGGGCAATGCAGATCCACTTCTCTATCTGCTGTGCCCTCTGCAGGGTGGCCAGGTTGGGCTCCCCAAGCACAGAACCCAGTACACAGCCAGTCACCATGTTGAACTGGGCCACTGTAGCACGGACAGTGGGGGCGGTGCCTCTGGCTCCTGGCCGATCCCTCTGTGACCACACAGAGCCCAGGCACTCACAGGGCCGCACTCTCGAGAACAGCTCCTGGATGAGAAGAGTGTGTTGGTGAGATCTATATTTAGTGAAGCCCGTCCTCGGCACTAGCCTATGCAGGTTCTCACCACATCCGTCAGGGTCAGTTGTTGAGCTACTTCATCCAGGCTGAAATCTAGGAGGTCCTGGCCTTCTGGCACTTCATCCAGGCAATATTCTGTAAGATCTGCACCAGGGATCTGGGTAGCTCCCAGAAATCCTGAGAGAGCATTACATAGGGTTAAAAATACTCAAGATTGAATCCAGGACTAGCAGTGTGACCTTGGGCAGGTCTCTTGGTGTCTCCGAGCCTCCCTTTCCTCATCTTTAAAATGGGGACCTCCCTGGATGTTTTTAAGAACTAAAGTGCAACAGTAACTTTCCTTGAGCACCTAGGTAGACTTAGCAAGTTAGCACACTAATCCAGTGAGGAAATACTATTATTCACCTTCTCAAGGTGGGGAAACTGAGACATGACAGGGCTTCAAAGCCAGAAACTCCAAGATTGGAGCAGAAAATATAACTTCTTGCCTTTCAATCTGTTAAGATATGGATGGAGGAAAGAACAGAAAATACAAAGGAGGCATCAAAAGACTAATGCACACAGGAGTTGGGGATAGAAGGAATGAACACTGCCATTGCCCCAGCTACAGAAACTAATATCTGTAGGCACTAATGCCTAGATTACAAAGCACAAGACCCAAGCAGATATGATAGCTATAGGGCGCAGACCCAAAGGGAAAGAAATATGGAGACCGAGCCCATTGTGTCATCTCCTCTCCCATTCAGCTTCTACATAGTTTACTCAAAATCAACAACAAACCTAGGAGAAAGAGAAGCTATCTATACGAATGCAGTCTCTGCAATGGCACAGGGCAGCAGTCCTCTGCCCACCTGTGACTATGAAGGTGTCCTTTCCACCAACTGTCTCCCTCTGCAGGGCAGCAGACTCCTGCCTGCCTATGACCTGTACCTGCCAAGACTTCTTTTTAGTGACCTCCCTCAGCAGAGGCTGCTCTTCCCAGGGCCACTCACCTGTGACCATGAAGGTCCCTCTCAGCAAAACTGCTCCTTTCAGGGCAGTTCTTCCAGCCCATTGTGTTTTACTTTTCTGTCCTTTTCCCCAGTAAACTGTGTTTTACTTTTCTGTCCTTTTCCCCATTAAGCCTGCTCCTTAAATATAATTGACTTTCATGGAGAAACTCACCTGGGAAACTCACTGCGTGCTGCTGAAAGGGGAGCTCTAGAGAAACCTTTCCCAGAGTGAGCCCAAGGACTCCATATTCCAAACCCACTAATGACAAAACCAAAAATGACATCATTCTCCATGATGCTATCACAGAACTGGGGTACAGGCCAGAGGTGCGGGGGGTGAGAGGATTCACCAGAGGCAGAGCGGGGAGCAGAACAGGCGGACTGATGAAGTACACTGCTGAGGGGAACAGTGGGTGGGCTAGGAGAGGTCTGCCATACCATGTGGGTCACCTCTGGGGTGGGGATCGAACTCATGCTGAAGTGGCTTTAGCTTCTTAGTGCTGTGCTCTAATCCACTGCGCCACGAGGGAGGGCCCTGTATTGAGGGCCCTGAAATTGTATTTTAGGGTGGCACTTTCAATAGTATATTCTGCAATGGTGGACATACTATCTTTTTTAAAAGAGATTTATTTATTTATGCATACTGAACTGGGATACAGGCCAGAGGTGCGGGGGGTGAGAGGACTCACCAGAGACAGAGTGGGGAGCAGAACAGGCATATTAATGAAGTACACTGTTGAGGGGAGCAGTGGGTGAGACAGGAGAGGTCTGCTGTGCCACGTGGGTTACCTCCCTGGCAGGGGATCTAACTTGTGCTACAGCAGCTGCGTCTAGCTTCATAGTGCTGTGCTTTAAACTATGGTGCCACCAGGGATGGCCCTGGTGGACATACATTCTACCTGTGTTGAAACTACTTTAGAAAAGCAGTTGATACAATTGAAGAAGGGAGTTTTAGTTTTTATCTAATTTTAAATTCAATTTCAAGAGCCAATGGAGACTAGAGGGCTATCACTGTTGGTCTATGTACTCTCCTGATTTGGAACCAGCTCTCAGAAATCTTGATGGCAGAGGGAGCAAGATACTTAGTAACTAAGGAAAATGGAAAGATAAAGTAGAAGTAACTGAGACTTTATTCACTGGAAGAGAGAAAGGCTGCTATTTTGTAAAGCAGAGAGAGGGAAGTGGCCACTTTAATCTGAGGATTAAAACAGAGAAATTAGGGATATCAACACTTTTGTGATGGAATGCATGTGGGTAAAAGATGATATTCCATAAGCAGAACACAATTATTTGATCAACAAATCAGCCTTGTTCTAGCTCCTAGGCTAGACAAAGTCAACAATAAGGCCCTCCCTGGTGGTGGAATGGGTGAAAGCACAGCACTGTGAAGTTATCCACAGCTACTGCAGCACAAGTTCAACCCCCAGCCAGGGAGCTGACCCACATGGTGCAGCAGATCTCTTCTCACCTGCCTGCTGCTCCCCTCAGCAGTGTATTTTAGTCACTGTTTTGCTCCCCACTCTGTATCTGGTGAATCCTGCACCTCTGGCCTATATTCTAGTCCTTGTGTGCATAAATAAATCTAAAAAAATGAAAATTCAACAATAAAACCAAAGTGGCCTTTTCCCGATGCACTCCCAGTATATGCAGGAGCTGAGCAAAGGCCAGGGATCAAGCAAAAAAAGAGTAGTCATGAGTCCCATACAGAAAAATCAAACAGGCCAAGAGGGCCAGGGAATCAAAGAAAGCATCTCTGAGGAGGTTACACTTGAACCTGGATGAAATATGTAGATACTTTTCTCTCCTTCAAAAACTTTCTACAAATAAATAAAATCAGATTAAATAAAACAAAACCAACAAAAGCTACAACAACAACTGGCAGATTCTTTGTATTGAGGAACATATAGTTTGCTAAAACCTACATTAAGAAAATGTCACCATGACTTCTTGCATATGTTTTAAGAAAATGTCACCATGAAAATGTCACCATGACTTCTTGCATATGTTTTAGTAGATTTTTATCTAGTGGATTCTAGCAAGTAAAAATCAATGATAACAACAATAATAAAAATAATACTACTTGCCAAGTCCTCGTTGTTAGTCTATTTACTTGTTTACTGATTATCTTCCCCTGAGAACTGGGAGCTCCTGTTCATTGTCATATGCCCAGAGCTAGTGGCTCTATATATTTGTTGAATGAATAAAGAGACCAATAAAGAAAGTACTGTTATCTCCCCATTTCACAGATAAAGTTCAAAGAGGTGAAGTGACTTATCCAAGATCACAATGTCAGCAAATGGTGGAATTGGGGCTTGAAACCAAGCCTCGTGGCTCCTGGAGCAAGGAGCTAGAAACCCATGGCCTCCTCACCCACTGGTGGAGTATCTTTGTAATTAAGAATGGGGGAGCACAGAGGTACTAAACAAGTACTAAGATATAAGACAAGGAATTATCCCCCATTAAATAGGTGAGGAAACTGAGTCTCACATGGGGTTAAGAACATTACACTGCGACTCAGACAGAGTTATGAACATTGCACAGATCTCCATGAGGGAAGGAAGCCTCTGGGGAAGAGAATACGCAGGGCATGATCAAAGCACTGTCAGAGCCCAGAACCCCTCACCTGCCCAAACCTGGGGCAGCTTTTCTTTCTGCTCTTGCTCTGCTTCCTCCAAGAAATCTCCCAGCAGCTTTTCTGCCTCCTTGGCCTCAACCCCCACTGGGGCTGCCCAGCCTAGAAAGGTGCGGATGTTCTCTAGGTCCGAGTGGGCAGGGGGGTCCCAGAAGTCTTGAGGGTGATCCCGAAGCCAGGAGCCCAGTACTGACACCACAGCCCTGGCCAGAAAGAGAGAACCTCAGAGATGCCTGGACTTCTGGACTTTTGGGGACTCTACCCCTCCAATCTGTTCTTTGACCTCTAGGACTCCCACCACCCCTCCTACCTACCAGCCAGTCAGATGGGAGACTAACCTCAGGTTCTTGTTGAAGCTCAGATCTCTGCCCTCTGTCTTCTTGATCTCTACCCTGGGAATAGCCCCCACCTCCAATCAGGTGAAGAAGAAGGGACTGGAGAGGAGCTTAGGAGAAGGGTTTTGGGGTTGGTTTTTTTTTTCCTGCTTCCAAACCTGAGGGAATAGAGGAAGTGAGGGCCTGGGGTTGAGAACATGGAGGTTTCCCCTTGGTACTGACCCTGGCGGTAGGGGAGGGGGCGGTGGTGGTAGGAGAAGGTCCAGCACTCGGGAAGTGGGCACAAAGGCCCGGTGGGTGGCCAGGAAGGCAGGTATGAAACTTGGGTCCTGCTCCGGGTCTCCAAACACCAACTCCCGAACCAGCCGGTCCAGCGGTGCCGCCCTGAGTGCCCGAACCTTGCTGGTGCGGTAATGGAGGAAAGCGTCGGTAGAGGGTCTGTGGGTCTGTGGGCAGGGGCAGCATTGAGACACTGACTTGCCCCCAACTCCTGCAAACCTTTTCCAATCAATTCTATTGCTAGTACCTCCCTTGCATCCGATTTTATCTATCCCTCTGGGAACGGCACCCTTGACTCTTTAATTCCACCCGTGTACAAATGAGTCCCTACGACCAACTCTCAGACTCCCAGACCCTAACTTCAAGCCTCACTCGGCCATTTAAAGCTCCTCCTGGCTCCCTAGTAGCGCCTTTAAGGCCGCTCCAGATTCCTGCTCCCCGCCCCACCCTACTCTCACCTGGCTGCTTCTAAAAACCACCCCTCCCTCCAGCTTCTCCTCTCTAAATCAGACTTACCTTGATTCAGTCGTCCAGTTCAGTCTCCAAGTTCTGCTTCCGAACCGCGCCTCCACCTGGTTTCGCTCCAGCCTGACTCTTGCCCCCCGCCCCGTGGTCTCTAAGCTCCGCCCCCGAACCCGAACTCCCGCCGCCAGCTCGGTCCCACCACTCTCTACCTCTAGGCCCCTCCACTCAGCCCGCCCTCCACTAGGTCGCTCCGGTCCGGGTCTTCCAGCTCGTTCCTTACCTGACTGCTCCCAGACCCTTCGCCCGGGCTCAAGTGCTGGCTGCGTTGCCGCCGCAGGGAGACACTGTACACCACACCGTCCTCCGTCTCCTCGCCCCATTCCTGCAGCGGCGCCTGGACCAAGGCGGGCTGAGGGTGCGGTGGGGAGACAGGTCCCCAGACCTCGGCTGCCCTCTCCCTTGAGGACGCTGGCTAGGTCTTCCAGTTCCAAACCCCTCCCTAGTCGGAGTTGGCGAAACTAGGGTCCCAGAATAAGAAAATCCCTACGGCGCCGTGGATAGCCGTCCTTGTCGTGGGGTGGGGTGGTATTTGGGGACATGCCGGGTTCCAGATTCAAGGAGTCTTTCTCTGACCTCTCTGGCTCGGAGACGAGCCCCTATCTCGAAGAGGAATCAGCCACTTCAGTGGCTCGAGGTAAGGGAATCCTGTACTGGTTAGAAGGGTCCGATTTGCCTGTAGATATGGCTCAAGGGTCAGGGACCTACAGTTTCTAGACCTGAGGATCTCCAGACCCCCTTACCAGGGCGAGCTCCTTCCCCGCTGTCCGCTCCATGGCCCACGCCCGTCCCGCTCCACCGCTCCGCTGAGTGAGGCGGAAGGGCCTGCGGGCAGCGGGCAGCAGGCTGGTGCTGGAGCTGATGGGGCGGGGCGGAAGGGCCACGGGAGGGCGGAGCCCGCGGGATGGGGTGGCCCGAACCTAGGGCTCACGGATACCCCCAACCAGACCCCCGTGCCAAGACCCTGCCCGGAAGAGGTCCCTGACAGTCTGTCCTGACAGGTGTGTCTCAATCAGTGCCCGGGAGAACATCTTTCCCAAGGGGAGGGCTCTTTTTCGTGTGTTGCCTGATGTGGAGGAGGAGCTAGAGTTTATAGCTAAATAGGGACTAGGTCTGTGTGGTCTTGCAGAATCCCCTCAGGAGGGATGTGCTGGCCTGTCATTTCTCTGGAGGAGTGAGGTGGCGCTCAGTCTGTGTCCCCAGCTGATGGGAGTCACTCCTTCGGAGACTCAGGGCTGTGTTCCCAGGTTTTAAGGGGCAGCCGTATTGGGGGGAGGGGGAGATACGGGTCAAGAAGAGGCAAATACCCAAGGGACTGATCGGTGACCTTTATTGCTCAATTCTGAGGCCAGTGCAGACAGCCGGGAAGATTTACTGTGGGAAAGTCTGCTGGCCCGGCTCCCTTCTCTACTCCAGGCATAGCCGGCTAGGCGGCTCAGCTCTCTTCTCTGGGCCCTGTTCAGCCCTTGAAGTCTCCCGTGGGCCCAAAACTGGGCCCACCGAGGTGGGGGTCTCCACAGGGTCCCGGAAGCACCAGGTGGGCGCTAGGGCTAGTCTAGGATCTCCTAGAGCGACTGCGCTTCCTGCTGCGGGATTCTATTAATTTCTGAGAACGGATCTTCAGGGCAGCCCGTGTTACCACGTCGTTGTCTTCGTCCTCACTCTCCTCTTCGTCTACCAAGGTAAAGGAGGTCAACTAGGTTCCTGTCCCTAGCTTAGGTTTCCCGTTTCAGTCTTTATCACCCCACCCCCACCTTGGCGCTAGGCCTCGAACCACCTCCCCCGCAGCTCCTCTTAGCGCCCCAACCCCGCCCCTTTTTCGTGTCCTTACCAAAGAACTTGTCCTTGGTAGTACTGGCAAGGGGCAAGGCGATGCGGGTGTTGTAGAAGGGCAGCCTTCCCTCTAGGCTGGTGTAGAACTGTTGGGGGTGGGGGGTAGTGTGGGCAGGGAAGCCGCTGCAAGGAAATCCAGTTCCACCTCCTCCCCATCCCATATATAAATATACTGACTCCATACAGGACCACTGTCCACTCCTGTTTTTCTCTGATTCAGCCATGTAGTGTGTTCTCAGCAGGCATCCTGATGCCTAGGACCTGTCCCCTTGTTCACCCCCAGACACACCCTTGATCTCTAGGTCCCACCCTTTGGCCTGTGGCCAGAACCCTGGGTCCCCTTAAAAGTACTTTCCTCCAATCTTCCTCAGCTCTCCTGATTCTTGGCTTCAAAAAACCGCACCCGATGTCCCTAAAGCCCATTTCTAGCCCAATGTCCTCCTTCCCAGCCTCCAGAGGATTGTTTGCTCTCCTCCCTGGGTTTTCACCCCAGCCCCTGAACCCTCAGCCCCAATTTTGGGCTGTATGGGCACCTCGCGGTCGGAGAGGTGGCGCAGCATCTCCGCCACGTCATGGCCATAGAGTTGCGCCTGCAGCTTCAGCAGCTTTTCCTCCACGAATCCCAGCAGATTGGGCAGATAGTCACCTGAGTTGGGATCCAGATCCTTTTCTGAGAAGCGGCCGCCCTCCTGTGCCCCAAAGCAAAGCAGGGTCAGACTGGGGGTATGGGGCTGGGGGCTGGACAGGTCCCGCCCAGTGGGCGGGGCTCTTCATTTCAGAGGCCTGGTCTTAGAGGTGAGTGGCTTACCAACAACTGTGCTGAGGGCCTCTGCAGTTAAGGGCCAAGCCTGTGAGTGCAGAGACTATGACCTCCAGAAACACAAGGATGGGGGATGCAGGTTGGGGGAGGAGGTGTCTTAATGATGAGGTCAGCAATAACTTGAGAAAGGCCTCTTCTGGGGATCACCTTCTGAAGACATGGGACTCTGCTGCGGGCAGGGTGGAGCTTCTTCTTTTTGGGGCCATTCTAGGGTTGGATCTGGCCATTCCAGGTCTCAGATTTCTTGGGGGGGGGGCAAGGTGGGATAGTACTTGGGGGACAAGGGTCTCTCAAGTTCTGAGCCTCTTAAATAAGTGTGTTTTCCCAAGGACTGAGGTAGAAACTCTAAGGAATGGGGTGAGATCCCTGTAGGTAGGTTCTTGATATCCTGGACTGGGCTTGAAGTAGGTTCCCTTGAGGTGTGGCTTCGGCTTTTTAGGCTCTGGGAGCTTCTGGTTGGGGCTTTCTCCATGTGGGCTTGGGGGGCTTGAGAGGGTGGGGAGGTAGAAGGGGTGGGGAGTGGACCTACCACTGTGATGTTGTTTAGCTTGCCCGATAGGTGCTCCAGGCCTTCCTTGGCAACCTGCAACGCCCGCATGGAGCGCTCCAGCTGATCCTGTGCCTCAGCACGTCTCTGCTCCTCCACTTTGACACGCTCCTGCAACTCGGTGTTCAGTTTCTGCTCACTGAAGAGAGCGGAGAGGCACTCAGTAGAGTGATGTGGAGCCAGAAGCCCCCCACTTTCTTCCTTGCTCACCAGAGCCTTACCTCACCAGCATGGTCTCTCCTGAATACTTGAGGTCTTCCAGCTCCCGCTGCAGTTGTTTCTTTTCTTGCTTCAGCGTCAGCAGCGTCTGTTCATTCTCTGTCTTGAGCATCTCCAACTGCGAGAATGTGTCGCCCTGGGCCAGGAACCTGCGCACCACCGCCTGTGGGCCACCAGCCCCAGTCAGAAAAAGAGCATGGGGAGGCGTCAATGCACCTCTCCTTCCCACTGCATGCTTCCTCCTCCCTCCGCCACCCCCCACAGGACAAGTGCGTGAAGCAGGTGGCTTCTGCACAACTGAGACCAACAGACTCAATTAGTTGGACTCAGGGATGCTTCAAGAATATACAGCTTCATATAAATAACTTTTGTAGGGTCCTTTCTTGATATAAAGAATTTGACTCAAGGGCCTCCCTGGTGACACAGCACTATGAAGCTATTTACAGCCACTGTAGCATAAGTTCAATCCCCTGGCCAGGGAGGTGACCCACAAGTTGTGGCAGACCTCTCAGCAGTGTGTTTAAGTCAGTCCACCTGTTCTGCTCCCTGCTCTGTTTCTGGTGAATCCTTTTACGCTCCCCGCACCTCTGGCCTATATCCCAGTTCTTGTATGCATAAATAAATAAAAACTTCTTTTAAAAAAGAATGTAGCTCAGCCCAAATCAGTGTGTGACAAAATCAACATGCCCGCTACATTCTGGTGGTCAGTCTTGCCCAATCTTTCAAGGAAATAAGGGACAAAGCTGGAGCACCCCACCCCCTAGGCTGATTTCTGGAAAGGGACCTGGCATATTGCCCCAGAAGAACCCACAGATGAGAGTGGTGGAACTCCTGGAGTCAACCTATGAGAGCAGTAGCAGGATGGAGAGTCCCGAGAGGGAGAAACTGAATTGGGGTTCAGTGGGAATACTGTTGACTAGAGGAGAATGTAAAGAAAGGCCTTAGAATATTTCATGAAAATGCTGTGAAGTGTGGAATCCAGGGTAGGGGCCCCATTTACCCCAGTCTAAAAGTGACACTGGGTAGTCTACTGTGCCCCAGATCCATCTCACAGGTGCCAGAGACACAAGATAAGACAAAGAATTCCCAGTTTTCACAGAGCTGCCATGCCAAAGAAGTAAGCAACCACATAAAAGTGAATATAACAGAAGGATAGCCAAAACAGCTCATGTGGGTTTTGTGCAAGGGACATCAGAAAAAGGGGGTAGTAGCTGTGTCTTTTATTTTTTTTTAAGATTTATTCATTTATGCATATTGGAACTGGGGTATAGGTCAGAGGTATGGGGGATGGTGGTGAAAGGATTCACCAGAGATAGAATGGGGAAATAGAACAGGTGGACTGAGTGAAACACACTGCTGAAGGGAGCAGTGGGCAAGTCAGGAGATGTCTGCCGTGCTGTGTGGGTCACCTCCCTGGCTGGGGATCGAACTGCTGCTGTAGTGGCCATGGATAGCTTCATAGTGCTGTGCTTTAACCCGTCATGCTACCAGGGAGGACCCAGTAGTAGCTATGTCTTTTAAGAGCAGATTTGTGTACTGAGGAATTGATCAAGCTGAAAGGTGGAGCTAGATGTATTGGCTTCAGGGGAGGGCTTTGCAGGCAGCACTCACATGAGTTTCTGCCACGCCGGTAGCATCCTTCACCTTGCCAAAGAGCATCTCCATCTGGTACCTGCCCCAGCGTTTCCTTAGTTCCTCTTCCTTAGCACGCAGGTTATCCTGGATGGTATCGTCTGACTGCAGCAGCAAGTGCTCTCGCTGGGTCTGCTTGGAGGTTGAGGTTTGTAGTGAGGGGCGGAGATAAAGGGAAGGGGATGAGTTTATGGTAGGTTAGGGGGCAGGGGTATCCATATAGGAATAAGGAGGAGGCAGGCCAGAGCTGGGGGGTCAGGACAATTGGGGTCAGGTAAGGGATTCCAGGCAGGGCTCAGGAGTGAGGAACAGAGCATACCACCTGATGTTCTCTGGGCAACATTACAGATGGTGCAGAGAGTTTGGGCCTATAGCTAAAGGGCTGGCTAAATGCTGGATCACATTTAGGGCTAGGGCCCAGAGATATGGGCTGGGATGGGTACCATCGAGTAAGCAAGGTGTGCTGCAAGCTAGTTCAGAACCAAAAAGGGGCAATCAGGTGGCCAGAAAGTTGGGGTCAAAGACGTGGGAGGAGTCCTGGCATCAAGTGGAGTTGGGGGAGGAGTCTGGATAAAAAAATCTGGAGTGCGGGACAAGGTAGCAGGCAATGTAGAGGTGTGACCAGGAATGCTACTACAGCAGCAGGATCTGAACCTGCATTCCTGGATGCTCCCACCTTGCGTTCCATGCGTTCGTTCTGCAGCTTCCTCTCTTCCTCACGCTTCTTGCACTCATTTATGTAGCGCTCACGTTTCTTACGCTCTCGGAACACAGTTTCCTCCAAATACTGCAGCTGATTCTAAAGGCAGGGGAACAGGGGATCCAGCTCGCAACCTACCACAGGCCTTACAGGGACGGTGGACCCAAATCTGAATGGCTGGGCCAGGCCACAGAGGTCTGGGACATAGATGAGAGGGGCTCAAGTATAGTGGCCACTCAGATTCTAGGATAGTGAGACCATGGTAGTTGGACAGGACCCCCAGATTCTGGTGGGCTCGCACCTTGGCAATGTCCCGGGCATTGAGTGCTTCTCGGTTCACCAAATGCAATTCCTCTAGCTCATGTTTTGTCTTTACTACTTCAGCTTCCATGGAGTCCAACCTGTTCTCTAAATTAAGGCTTTCCTCCTGGAAGCATGGGAAATAGGCATAATTGTCACCACAGTCTCTGCCCAGCAAGGCTGCCTCTCACTTGTCTCTCTCTACCTCCAGGCTATCCTACCTGCAGGTAGGCCTTGAGCTGCAAGTACACACTGGTTATGTGTTCCGCCTCTTCTGCCTTCATCCGGGCCTTCTCCAGACGGTTTTCAAGGTTCCGCATGGTCTAGATGAAAGCAAAACTGAGCTGAGTCCTCTCTCTCAACTCTCAATTTCTCCTCTAGGCTCAACCCCTCCCCCATCTCACCGGCCCCACCTTGGCCACCTCCGAGTTGCCTTCTTGTGCCTCGGCCATCTCCAGCTCCCGCAGATTGTACTGTAGCTGGAGTTCCTCCAGGTGCTTCTGCCGCAAGCCTACTTGGTGCCGCAGAGCATTCAACTGCTTCACCTTCTCACTCAGCCTGTGGTCCAGGTGCTCCAGAGCCTGCTGGAGAAGGGGTAGTGGGGCAGAGGCCTGAATTCCCATCTAGTCCTTCATCCCTTCCTTCTCCAGATCTTGGCTTTCATCTCCCTTTTCTCTTGGCAGCATCTGACCTGGTAAGCCTCCTCCTATAAATTCTCTTCTTTGGTGGCTCCTAGAACCTCCACTATTTGGCTTTCCACCTACCTCCCTGACTTTCCCTTCTTTCCAACCCCTTTGCTCCTGGAAAGAAGCCCGAGGTTCTTCTCTCCCTGGCCACACCATCCTATCAAGTCTCCAGGTTGTCAAGGCTGCCCATACAATAAAAATGTCCAAATTTGATATATCACATATCCATGTCCTTCCAAGTATCTCCACAGGTACTTCAAAGTCATCATGTCCAAAATCAAGCAAACTTGCCTTTCTTACATTTTCCCCATCTCAGTTCATGCTAGCATGCTTGTCAAAAACTTTTATGTCCTCTCACTTTCTTTTTTTTTTTTTTTTGTCTCCCATGTGTATCCTAATTTGTTAGCGATTCTTTGCTCAACTTCAAAAGCTTGCACAGGGATCTCTTTCATTCTTTCTTTTTCTACCATTTGTGTCCTAGTCTTGCACTGTGGCCCAAGTGCAATCCCCAGCCAGGAAGCTGACCCACATAGAATGCAGCAGTCCTCTTCTGTCTCACCCGCTGCTCCCTTCGGCAGTGTATTGCAGCTTATCTGCCTGTTCTGCTTCCCACTCTGACTCTCTCTCTGATGAATCCTCTTACTCCCCACATCTCTGGCCTACACCTCAGTGTTTGTATGAATAATTACATAAAATAAATCTTAAGGGGCCTCCCTGGTAGCACAAAGGGGTAAGTCTCAGCACTGTGAATCTATTAACAGCCACTGCAGCATTATTTTGTTCCCAGCCAGAGAGCTAGGTGAAGCAGACCTCTTCTGTCCCATCCACTGCTCCCTTTCGCAGTGTATTTCAGTCTATTTGCCTGTTCTGCTCCCCACTGTCTCTGGTGGATCTTCTCTCCCTCTATCCCCCCACACCTCTGGCCTACACCCCGGTTCTTGTATGCATAAATAAGTAAAATAAATCTTTTTTCTAAATATTTATTTATTTATGCATACAGAACTGGGGTATGGGCCAGAGGTACAGGGGTGGTGATAGAACTCACCAGAGACAGAGTGGGGAGCAGAACAGGCTGACTGATAAAATGCACTGCTGAGGGGAGCAGCAGGTGGGTCAGGAGAGGTCTGCCACGCCATGTGGATCACCTCCGGGGCAGGCGGGGATCGAACTCATGTGGAAGCGGCTTTCGATTCTCAGTGCTGTGCTTTAACCTGCTGCGCCACCAGGGAGGGCCTACACCCATTTTTTATAAAAAGATTTATTTTGGGGCCATCCCTGGTGGCGCAGCAGGTTAAAGCACAGCACTGAGAATCTAAAGCCGCTTGCGCATGAGTTCGATCCCCGCCTGCCCTGGAGGTGACCACATGGCGTGGCAGACCTCTCCTGACCCGCCCGCTGCTCCCCTCAGCAGTGTACTTCGTCCATCTGCCTGTTCTGTTCCCCGCTCTGTCTCTGGTGAAGCCTCTCGCTGCCCCTGAGTCTGTGGCCTGTACCCCAGTTCTGTATGCAAAAATAAATAAATCTTTGAAAAAAAAATGGGTATAGACCAGAGGTACAGGGGTGGAGGGGAAGAGAATCCACCAGAGACAGAATAGGGAGCTGAACAAGGGTATTTATGAAATACACTGCTGAGGGGAGCAGCAGGTAAGACAGAAGAGGTTTGCTGTACCATGTGGGTTAGCTCCCTGGATCAACTCATGCAGAGGGGCTGGTGATAGCTTGACAGTGCTGTGACTTTAACCTCTGCACCACCAGAAAGGCCCAAATAAATAAATCTTTAAAAAAAAAATCTGCCCTTTTGGGAAAAATACCAGATGGTTTTACTCATAGAAGGAGTATAAAGGACCAGGGGAGAAAGTAATAATAATAATGAATAACTATATACCAGAGACACTTTATGGGGGGTGGAATGGGAAATGGGATCAAAAATGGTGGTGGTGGGGGGAAGTGCACAGGACTATGGTGATGACACATGGGTGATATGGTGATGGGAAGCCCATAGGGATTACAACTGAGATGGGAAAAGGCACAAAATGATGTAAAAATAAACTATTATATTAAAAAAAATTGCCCTTTTGAACCCTCTTATGGGTAGTGGGAATGCAAACTGATCCAAGCACTAAGGAAAGCTGTGTGGAGATTCCTCAAACTACTAAAAATAGAGCTACCATATGACCCAGGGATCCCACTCTTAGGAATCTAGCCAAAGGACATAAAAACATTAATTTGAAAAGAAACCTATGTTTATTGCAGCACTATTTACAATAGCTAAGATAAGGAAACAACCCAAAAACAGATGAGTAGATCAAGAAAATGTGGTAGATATACAAAATGGAATACTACTCAGCAATCAAAAAATAAACTCAAGGCATTTACAGCAACATATATGGAATTAGAAGGGATTATGCTTAGTGAAATAAGTCAGAAGGTGAAAGAAAAATATTAGATAGTTTCACTTACAGAAGAAATATAGGGAATCTGAACAAAGAGTCAAAAAAGAGAGACAAAAGTTGCAGATAAACTATAGATATGAGGCATACAGTAGGAGACCAGGGAAGGAGATGGGTCAAGATAGGGGAGGGAAGAGCACAAGGGACTCTGGTAATGGTTCATGGGTGATGTGGTAATGGGAGTCTACACAGGAGCACAGATATCAACTATCATACAAAATTAAACAACAATGTATGAAAAGAAATCTGCCCTCTCGTCATCACTAGTATGAAATCCCTATCACTAGAAAGCCCCAGCATGACAGCTGCTGCTGACTTGCCTGACCTCCTACAGAGATCACTCAGTCACTCCCATCTGGCCAACAATCTCCCCTATGTCTCCAAAACTCTATTGTTAGTTTCTACCCCAAGGATTTTGCACTTACTGTTCTCTTTGCCTGGATTGCACTTCCTCAGATCATTTCCTGCCTATACCATTCTTTGCTCAAATAATAACTTCTTTAGAAAGAGAGGGTTTTGCAGGCCCTCCCTGGTGGTGCAATGGGTTAAAGCACCGTACTACGAAGCTATCCACAACCACTGTAGCACAAGTTCAATACCCAGCTAGGGAGGTGACCCACATGGTGCAGCAGACCTCTCCTGACCCTCAACAGTCTATTTCAGTTGATCTGCCTGTTCTGCTCCCCATTCTGTTTTTGGTGAATCCTCTCACCCCTGCACATCTTGTCTGTGACCCAGTTCTGTATGCATAGATAAATAAATCTTCAAAAAATAAGAGTGAGAAAGAAGTCTTTGCTAACCCCTCCTCCTATCTCATCTGCTCCAATTTAGCTCTAGTAAGTCAATCTGTCACTAATGGAAATGACTTTTTCCCTATATTTCTTGTTTTGGGATTATGTTGTTTTCCCACTGAAGTTACCAACAGTTAGTACCATGTTAGGCATATGGTTGGTACATGAAAAAGATTAATCAAATGGGGAAAGGAATGGCATCCAGTGTGGAGAAAGTAATGTAGAGGGTGAGATAGAAGGCAGGGAGTCTACTGGGAAGGGAATCCAGGTTGGAAATGAAGGGAGAGGGCCAGTGGATTGAGGTTGGGGCAAACCTGGCTGGTTCTGTTCTTCAGGTATGGTGTCTCTGACTTCCATTCCTTAATCACTGCCTGGATCACTTTCCCATCTCCCTACAAGGAGAGAAGTTCAGTCACTGCTAATCCAAGTCACCTCCACCTGAGGCAGTGCCATTGCTCTAGGTATGCTGTCCTTGGCCCTCTGGAAACCTCTCACCCACTGATGTACCCTCACCTGGAGCAGATCAGTAAGCTGTAGTTGCAGCATCCTGATCTCCTCTCGGAGTTGACTGATGGTCTCCTGATTCTTCTTGATGTTCCACTGGGCATTTTCATAAAAAGCCTTCCGGTCACCCTCTGGGATCATGTAAGGTGGGCAGACACAAGCACATGATCATGGAGGGGCTACTTCCCAAAGGGAAGAGCACTTTGTAGTCATCAATATAATAACAGCAATTTACTTTGTACATTTATTATGTTGTTGAAAACTTACCTTCAAACTTTCCAGGTATCTGGAAAGATGGGTGAAATACTACATGACACACACCTCAGTAACATCTTTAAAGATAGAACACCCAATGCAACAATAGTGAAGGAAAGGATAAAGAGATGGCGCTACATCAAGTTAAAAGAGCTTCTGTACAGCAAGAGACATTACAAACAACAAACAAATAGCCCACTGATTGGGAAAACATTTTCTCACACAAAGCTAGCAATAAAGGATTGATCACAAAGATATACAAAGAACTGATGAAACTCAACAAAAATAAACAACCCCATCAAAAAATGGGAGGAAGAGAGCTAAAAAGACACTTCTCCAAGGAGGAAAGGCAGATGGCCAACAAACATATGAAAAAATGTTCAACATCACTTGTAATAAGGGAGATGCAAATTAAAACCACAATGAGATACTCCCTCACCTCAGTGAAAATGGCACATCTTCAAACAACTAGCAACAATAAATGTTGGTGAAGATGTGGCGAAAAAGGAACTCTCCTGCACTGCTGGTGGGAATCAAACTAGTACAACCACTATGGAAAACTGTTTGGAGGTTCCTCAGACTGCTTAATACGGAGCTTCTCTACAACCCAGCAATCCCACTCCTAGGTACCTACCCAAAAGATACAAAAACACTGATTCAAAAAGACACCGGCACCCCCATGTTTACTGATGCTTTATTTACAATTGGAAAGACATGGAAACAG